CCGCGCCCCCCCCCCCCCGCCCCGCCGCTCCCGGCCGCCGCTCCGCCGCTCCGGCCCCGCCTCCGGGGGAACCCCTCCCTCCCCGCAGCGCCCCCGTCTCTTTGTGCCTTCGCAGCGCGAAATTGCGGGGTTTCCTTCCTTTCCCCCCTCACACCCGCCCCCTCCCCGCCTTTTTTTTTTTTTTTTTTTTTTTAATTTCCCGCCCTATCCTTCCCTCGCACCCCGTTTTTCTGGCGTGCTAATGCCTGGGTGCCCCCCGCAACGGCGCTGCGTGAAACTAGGATGAGTAGTTCCAGGTGCGGGGAAGAGCTAAGGACACCTTGCTGGATTTTTTAATTTATTTTTTTCTCCCCTTCCTTCTTTTCTTCTTTCCTCTTTTTCAAGCTCTGCTGGAGGCTGGCATGCCTATGGAGAGAAAAAAAAAATAATGAAAAAAGAAATCAGGGGAAAGGGAGAAGAGAAAAATACTAAAGGCACTTTCAACAACCTTGAAAATCCAAATGAAACCCAGATTTCTATTGTGTGGGAGCTAAGCAGGCAACTATTGTACTTACTGCATGCAGCAGAAGAAGACATACTGAAGACACATCCTTTTGTTGTCAGTAAAAAAAGAACTTCATAAAAGAAGTATGTACATGCATGGCCCATGTCTAGCAGAGCACTTCAGATTAGTGTCTACCTAATCACAGGGGTGGATAACAAGTAATTTTGAACAGATGAGGAATATATTTCCACCTCTAAAGTATCACTATTAATGCGACCCCATTTTTTTTTTGTTAGAAAAATCCTCAAAAGGTAATAAAAAAATGAAAAATTTTGATGTGGTGAAGAAAAAAGCTTCTTTTGTGAGACTGAAGGTGAAAAAGAATCTCATATCTCTATATAAGATTAAAAAAGGAGGGAGATAAAATAAGAAGATAAAATTAATATTGCTAAGGTAACTAAGGTAAAAAAGGAGGCAAAAGAAAAGCAGTCAAGCTCTTTTAAATGTTATAAAGCAACAGGGGGGTGGAAATAAAATATGGCAAGAGAGTGACATAAACATTTGAAAATAGTATAAACATGCAAAGTGACACCAACAAACTAAAATAATCAAGGAACAGAGGAGGTGTTGCAAAAACGCAGATGGGTTGTTTGCAACATCTTCACTGCTCACAGCAGAAGAAATCATCATGTAAAGGGGAGGGAAAAAATAAAAACAAACCAAAAACCAAATCAGCCAAAGCCATGTGTTTACTCTTACTGCTGTCCATTAAGGGAATCCAATGTGTACACACAGCCAGAGGTTCCCAGGGCCTTGGCATTTCTCTTCCCTGGTGTGCTGTGGCTCATATCAAGACTGTATGGTCAAATGTCCAACATTCCTATCATCCTAAAACAGCATGAAAACAAAGCTGCACATGGAAGACTTCATGTGGACAGTCCTGTTGTTACCACTTTGATTTCTAAAATGCAAGACTGTCTAAAAGATTTACTGCAGCTATGCCATGTTCCTCCAGAACCTACCCAGGCTGACCCACGGTGATGTCACAAAAAGCACTGCCCACTGCTTGGGGTACAGAAGTTCTCCTGCGCACACATGCACTCCCAAAGGGATTTGTTATGTTTGCACAAAGGAACCTGTTCTTCCATTACTGCTGTGACAATCCCCGTGATTGTTGCAGCTCAAAAACCTCCAGCCAAACTCGTCAATCTGCTACCATCGAGGCAGAGCAAGCTGTGTCTCTCCTCAGTTGCACAGTGGATTTAGAGAGCTGGGAGAGCTGCCTGCAGAGCTTAGCACTGTGCAAGAGATGGTGTGGATACACAAGCCCCTTTTCCCATGAATCTGAAATCTCTCATAGAGCCCTGAGGCTATTGAGATCATTTTATATAAAACCGATACATTGGGAAGATCTACATATAATAAAATCAGTGAAGAATGCACGTCTGTCATTACTGCAGACATCACTAAAGCATTAACAGAAAAGTGGCCTGAAGGAAAAGATTTGACAGAACAGGGAAAGGGAGACTGTTCAGTACACATAAAGATCAATAAAAGACTCAAGGCTATTATTTACATGTTCATTTTCTTCTCTTCGCCATGGAATGGCTTTTGCTGAAACTGCTGTCCCGTGCAAAGGGCAGCAGACCCCAAGAAACACCTGAGGAACAAACCTGAGTATCACATAGGCAGGCCTCACACATGAGCACCTTCTCCACAGGTTTGTTGGTGACACCAAGCTGTGTGGTGTGATACAAGTTGGAGGCAAGGGATGTCATCTAGAGAGACCTTGACAAGTGTGAGAGGTGGGTCTGGGCCAACCTCTTGAAGTTCAACAAGGCCAAGTGCAAGCTGCTGCACCTGGGCTGGGCCATCCCAAACACAAATTCAGGCTGGGTGGAGAAAGTACTGAACAGAAGGACTTGAAAGTGTTGGTTGACAAGAAGCTCTACATGACTCAGGAATGTGTGCTTGCAGCCTAGAAAGCCAACCACATCCTGGGCTGCATCAAGAGAAGCACAAGCAGCAGGGTGAGGAAGGAGATCCTCCCGCTCTGATCCACTCTGGTGAGACCTCACCAGAGGAACTGGCACAGGTTGCTGAGAGAACTTACAGATGACCCATCCCTTGCAGTGTTCAAAGCCAAGCTGGATGGGGCTTTGTGCACCCTGGTCTAATGGAAGACATTGTTGCCCATGGCAGGGGGATGGAGCTAGATGATCTTTCAGGTCCCTTCCAGCCCAAAGCATTCTGTCATTCTATGCTCTGTTTAGGTCAATACTGTGCAAGACGTGAACTGCAATAGATGGCATTTGGGTATTACTTTTGCCAAATCATGAGTGATCTCATCCCATCAAATCCCTCTTACACAATCTGCTAAAGGCCAGACTGCTCCCCAGCCCCACCCCACACCCAGAAAGCCAGTCATGCTGACCTTTCCGCTCCCCCCACAGGCCCTACGCGCGCCAAGGCGTCTGAGCAAAGCTTGCACGAGGCCTGACCGAGACAGTCTGTACTTTCTCCTGTATCAATATTTCAAAACCCTAGTCCCAAGTATTCAATATTTGAGCAAAGCACTCTGAAGCCAAGGCAGGAAGAAACCGCTTGCTCTTTCACTAATGGGATTCCAGAGTGGCCACAGCAGAGAATTAGTCCAGACCTGTCAGGCTGGGCTGCAACTTAACATGAGCTATGCTGAAGAGGGTACAGCTCAACTAAAAAGCACAAGGAGAGGTTCTGGTGCAGGAAAAACCACGATCCAAGTTGCTTCAGCAACCAATTTAAGTGTACCAGGCAACACCCCTGTCTTGTGGCATGACAGCAGCCATTTAGGGTATAAGCCTTATCATTAACATCATGCCCTAGAGCACAGAAATCCCTAGGCAAGGGTGATGTTCTGGCTGAGAGAATTGCTACAGCTCTGCTTTTGGGGGAAGTTGCTACATAACCACATTATCTGGTCCCACAGAAATCCTCAGTGTACAGGCAAGGGAAAGATTTGGCAAGGGAAAGATTGAAATGTCTGTACTTTGAGGAAGGAATACAGAGCAGAATTTTCTTCCTCATTCTGGAAGATGGTTTGTAGATTCAGTATTACATTGCTGAACAGCCGATGGGGAACTTGAAGTTTCATTTTAAATAAAATCAGCTGGGAAGAAGTATGCATCAGTGAAGAACTGCCTGAGGAAACATCCTAATGACTATAGTTAATTTAGGGATAAAATTCAAAGGGAATGGATTGTATAATTTTACATATATTTGATAATGGTAGATTCTGAATGGAATTTAAGGAAGAGTTGTTTTTTTTTCCAAATCTCATTTTACATTCAAATTTCTGCTCATATTTGCCCTCAAAGCTTGCTTCTGCCCCAGCACTAGAGGCAAGAGCCCAAAATACAAATCAAAAATTGCATTTCCTTCCTCATAAACATGTATCTTCTCTTTTTGAACACTGATAGCAAACTAAGCAGAGTTCAGGACTAATTAATGCACATTTGATCACTGAAGACACATTTCAGCTCATGGAAATGTTCAAGGAGAAAACAGCCTAAGAGAGAGAGCCTTGCTTACAGAATACTGCACCTCTCCTCAAGGGGACTGGAGAAAGAGCTCTGCTTTGAAAAGTTCTTCTGCTTCCACTGATGATGGTGCTAGAGGCTAACTTCCAATTGGCTTCAAATGTTGAAGTGTTGTTGCAATTTGGTTTTAAATAGTTTGCTAACAAACAAACACAGAAGTATAAACAGTCCAATTCTTAAGGAGTAACAAACAAGGTTCCCAAAATACATTTATAAGCATAAAATCTACCATAGTAGTTTCTACCACGTACTTTTTTAGCTGAATTAACCCTGAAGAGCAGTTTACTACACTGACTTTTGCAATGTTACACCAGAAATTAATTTAACTCAGGGAATGTCTCATTTAAACACAGAGCCACCATCTCTATCTTCCAAGCTGCAGCAAAGACATTGCTCTGTCATTGTTCAAGTCCTGTATACTTTCCTGGTTTTTCAGAAGTTTACTGCATGTGTTGGAAACATTTTTAAACATTAAGTGGGATCTCCCCCACAGTCATAGTACATTTGAAGACCTGGGCCTCTATCACTTAATCTTTTATAGAAAGCTAAGCACAAAATTTTTATGGCAGATATGCGCTGCATTTATTGAAGATTTTAAACTTCTTGGGTGCATATGCAGGGTATTAAACACAAAGGGGTCAGAATCAAAACTTCCCCTGGCTTATTTCTCAAGCAAATTTTCACGCTTCCATACTCACAATGGTTGTGGCCTGTTTGTGCTCTGCATTTTAGAAAGCACTAAAAATCAATTATCTCTCCTACACCAGTTTGTAAGATGGTATCGCCTTATGAACTTGCACACAAAGACATATTAATGGAGCTTGAGCATCTGTGGTACAAAAAACTTGTAGATTTCCCCACCTACAAGGAATGTATTTAAAGAAAAGGCT